TCCAAGTTAAACAAGTTAAGTCGGTGCCCCAACCACGCACAGACCAGTAAAAGCCAACCAAATTTTCTGCTTTTTCCTAGCCCTCAACTTATGTCCACTTTGTAACTGTCCTTGCCATATTCTCCCTTTTGGCCACAGTAAGCGAGATTCTTCAACACTCGTTACTGAGTTTCCAGCACGAACGACGGGGACGTAAGGAGAGACTCGCGCCATTATTTTCTTAACTTATTTTGGCTTATGTTTCCTTAACCTATGAATACAGTCTGCATATTTGAAATTTGCTGTGTAAAAGTTTTTTGTGTTTCAATAAAATACCTGACAATTAAAAAGAGAGAAAAGACTGGTTTGGCATGCAAAGTGACTGGTGCCCCAGCCTCGCACCCGCCTGTGAAAGCCAACCAAATCATTTGCTTTCTCCATACAATTTAATTTGGTGCTATTTCCCTTTCTCCCTTTGTTCCAGGCGATTTCACTGAACGGACGATATTAGATTTCAATCAGTCATATTCATTAGCCCTTACAGATGCTGTTAATTCTCCCAGCATACCGGCAATAATGCGATAGTGAAGGTATATCACACTGTCAACAGTTATCTGTATCTCCTCCACGTGACCATAATCTATCATCTGACTTATAAGTCCTCTGACAGAGCGCCACTCCAATCCTAGAGTGTCAATAAGTTGTTCGTAAATTCTTCTAAGGGGGACACCAGTATCACCTCCATTTCTTAGGAGACCAAGAATATATGATGCTTCGGACCGAGGCATCATATGCCCCATCTTATAATTCGATCTGCAAAAAGCAGCAGATTCTTGACTCAGACTTGTGATCCAAGTAGGACCGCTCTCTGACCCTCTGCAGCAGCTAAAAAAGAGAAAAAATAGAATGAAATTCCAATGACTAAATTTCGCCACAAATAATACACACCATTAGCCCATCGCGTCTCTCAGGGCGGAGTGATAATATTTCCGTAATGGCAGTTCCGAAACCAACTCTGATGCTTGAAAGGAAACCACCTTCTTTCATTTGCACTATAACGGCATCAACCTCGAACTGGGAGTGTCCCTGCCGAACTAAATCCTCGATTATTTTTGACTTAGAAGAAAATTCCGATCCTTTCAAAATCTGAAAGATTTTAAAGGATACCGGAATGTTTTCCATTGTAAGCAGGCTGATTGTCAGCGGGCTGCCACTCGGGATCTTCCGACCGCTCCGCGGACCACCCCGATCTCTAAGCTGATCGCCACTCAGCTGCAATCGCTGCCAATCTCTGACCGTAATATCC